ATTTTCTATTTCTTTGAGATAGAAAGAAGTCCTTATTGATTACTGTATCATGCATACAGAAGAGCATTTAGAACACATGCATACTTTTCAGAAGAAACATATAGCTAACACCTGTATAATCACCACTCAGGTTGAGAATTACAACTCTTACCTCTCTCCTGGATGTAACCTGTATCCCAAATTCAGGGGTAATTATTTTTAGGATTTTGTTAGAGTTCCTGCTGTCTATCTGTATCCACAAGCATATTGTTTAATTCGAACTTTTCTTTTTTGAGCTTTATAAAAATAGAGTCATCTGTATGAATTATTTTGTGACTTGTTTCTTTTATTCACTATTGTAGCCATGATGTTTATTTCATTGCAGGATAGTGTTCTAGTTTGGGTATCACACAATTAAAAGTACCTACAATATTATTTATTTATTTTTTAGAGACAGGGTCTCTCTCACTCTGCTACCTAGGCTGGCGTGCAGTGGTGTGATCATAGCTCACTGCATGCTTGAACTCCTGGGCTCAAGCAAACCTCCTGCCTCAGCCTCCTGAGTAAGCAGTACTATAGGTATGTGCCACTGTGCTCGGTTATTCTTTTATTTTATTCTGTTTTTTTTTTTTTTTTTTTTTTTGAGACGGAGTTTTGCTGTTACCCAGGCTGGAGTGCAATGGCGCGATCTCGGCTCACCACAACCTCCGCCTCCTGGGTTCAGGCAATTCTCCTGCCTCAGCCTCCTGAGTAGCTGGGATTACAGGCACATGCCACCATGCCCAGCTAATTTTTTGTATTTTTAGTAGAGAGGGGGTTTCTCCATGTTGACCAGGATGGTCTCGATCTCTTGACCTCGTGATCCACCCACCTCAGCCTCCCAAAGTGCTGGGATTACAGGCTTGAGCCACCACGCCCGGCCATATTCTTATGTTTTATGTAGAGATGGGGGTCTCATTATAACAACCAGGCTGGTTTATTTATTTATTTTTTTTTGAGACAGAGTTTCGCTCTTGTTACCCAAGCTGGAGTGCAATGGCGCGATCTCAGCTCACCGCAACCTCTGCCTCCTGGGTTCAGGCAATTCTCCCGCCTCAGCCTCCTGAGTAGCTGGGATTATAGGCACGTGCCACCATGCCCAGCTAATTTTTTGTTTCACCTGTTTCACCTTGTTGACCAGGATGGTCTTGATCTCTTGACCTCGTGATCCACCCGCCTTGGCCTCCCAAAGTGCTGGGATTATAGGCATGAGCCACCGTGCCCAGCCCTCATTTAGTATTTTATAGAGAATTTGAGTGACTTGTATAAATCTTACACAGCACCTGCGTAAGTCTTCTACTCATTTTTTTTCTTATGGTACGTGCCTTCCTCCTACTTATTCGTAACACTATTTTCTTTTCTTTTCTTTTTTTATTTTGTTTTTTGAGAAAGAGTCTTGCTCTGTCACCCAGGCTGGAGTGCAGTGGGGCGATCTCAGCTCACTGCAACCTCTGCATTCCGGGTTCAAGCAATTCTCCTGCCTCAGCCTCCTGAGTAGCTGGGATTGCAGGTTTGTGCCGCCATACCCAGCAAATGTTTGTATTTTTGGTAAAGATGGGATTTTGCCATGTCAGCCAGGCTGGTCTTGAACTCCTGACCTCAGGTGATCCGCCCCCTCTTGGCCTTCCAAAGTACTGGGATTACAGGCGTGAACTACCATGCTTAGCCCATAGTACTTCTTTCTTTTCTTTTCTTTCTTTCTCTTTTTTATTTCTCTGACAGGGTCTCACTCTGTTGCCCAGGCTGGAGGTGATTCTACTTCCTTAGCGTCCTGAGTAGCTGGTACTACAGGCATGTACCATCACACCCAGCTAATATTTGTATTTTTTTGTAGAGATGGTATTTTGCCATGTTGCCCAGACTGATCTCAAACTCCTGGGCTCATGTGATCCACCTGTCTCAGTCTCCCAAAGTGTTAAGATTACAGGTGTGAGCCACCATGCCTGGCTGCACTATTTTTAGTAGAGTACATATTAACACTTTATTATAAGTATACTGTCCATTTGTTAGATTGTCTTTTTTCTTTTTTTATTTTGAGACAGAGTCTTGCTCTGTCACCCAGACTAGAGTGTAGTAGTGTGATCTTGGCTCACTGCAACTTCCACCTCCTGGGTTCAAGTGATTCTCCTGCCTCGGCCTCCCAAGTAGCTGGGATTACAGGTGTGCACCATTATGTCTGGCAAATTTTTTGTATTTTAGTAGAGATGGGTTTTCACTGTGTTGCCCAGGCTGGTCTCAAACTCTTGAGCTCAGGCAGTCCGCCCATCTAGGCCTCACAAAGTGCTAGGATTAGAGACGTGAGCCACCGAGCCTGGCTGAACTGTTGTACCACTCTTTTTTTTTGTTTTTTTGAGAAGGAGCTTCACTCTTATTACCCAGGCTGGAGTGCAATGATGTGATCTTGGCTCATTGTAACCTCTGCCTTCCAGGTTCAAATTTTTGTATTTTTAGTAGAGACAGGGGTTCACCATGTTGGCCAGGCTGGTCTCAAACACCTGACCTCAGGTGATCCATTCGTCTCAGCCTCCTGAAGTGTTGGGATTACAGGCGTGAGCCACCGTGGCAGCTGGCCAAAACCCAGTTGCTCTGCTGTGCCCAGGGGAGCACCTTTTTTTTTTTTTTTTGACATCGAGTTTTATTCTTGTTGCCCAGGCTGGAGTGCAATGGTGTGATCTTGGCTTACTGCAACCTCCAACTCCTGGTTTCAAGCAATTCTGCGTTCAAGCGATTCTCCTGCCTCAGCCTCCCAAGTAGCTGGGATTACAGATGCCCACCACCAGGCCCAGCTAATTTTTTGTATTTTTAGTAGAGACGGGGGTTTCACCATCTTGGCCAGGCTGGTCTTGAACTCATGACCTCAGGTGTTCCACCCACCTCAGCCTCCCAAAGTGCTGGGATTACAGGCATGAACCACTGTGCCTGGCCTGTTGAACCATTCTTATCAATTGATGTTGTTAAGAGCTAATAGGATTTAGTCCCTTTATCTCTTTTGATCCTTTGGTCTTCCATAGGAATTTTAGGATTTGTTTGTTGAGTTCCAAGGAAGACTCTGGGATTCCAGTTGCAACTGCACGTGTTTAGAAATGAGTTGGGAATTGGCATCTTTATACTATCAAATTTTCCTTTTGGTAGACTCTTATTCAGTTTTCCTTTTATGGCATTTACTAATGTGTCACATTTTTTGTCAGGAAGATCTTGTGCATTTTTTGTTGAATTTCTTCCTAGATACCTCTTAGTTATTGTTGCAGTTGTGATTAGGATCTTTCCTATCCCATCTTCTAATTGGTTAATATTAGTGTATGAGAATGCTAGTGATATTCATAAAGTCATCATGTATACAGAAGTCTTTCTGAATGCTTTTATTAATACTAATCATTTTTTGATTCTCTTGGGTTTTCTATGTGAATAATTATCTTTATAAAGGCAATTGTCTTTTCCAATTATACATTTTATTTCTTTTTCTTCTCGCAATGAATTAGGACCTGTACTACAATGTTTAAGAGATACAGTGATATTGCATCCTTTGTTTCTGATTTTAGTGGAAATGATCATGAAGACAAAGATATAAAATGATAGGCAGTATTTGCATGCTTGCCGTGTGCCACAAATGCATTGTTCTGTATGCTTTGCACCATTAAATAGTTGAATCCTTGCAATGACCATGTAAAGTAGGCTGGTTGTTGTTCCTGTTTTATATATGAAAAAACTGAGGCACAGAAATGATGTAACTTTTATAGCTTTCACTATTAAATATGATATTTGCTGTGGTATTTCGAAAGATATCTTTCATCAAGAGCCCCTTTTATTAGTCCTAGTTTGTTAATAAGACTTTTGTTTTGTTTTGTTTTTGTTTTCGTTTGAGACAGAGTCTCATTCTGTCACCCAGACTGGAGTGCAATGGCGCAATCTTGGCACACTGCAACTTCCGCCTCCTGGGTTCAAGCAGTTCTCCTGCCTCAGCCTCCTAAGTAGCTGGGATTACAGGCGCGTGCCACCACACTCGGCTAATTTTTTGTATTTTTAGTAGAGATGGAGTTTCACCGTTGTTGGCCAGGCTGGTCTCAAACTCCTAACCTCGGGTGATCCACCCGCCTCAGACTCCCAAAGTGCTGGGATTACAGCTGTGAGCCACTGTACCCAGCCTAATTAAAAATCACAAGTGAGTGTTTTATTTTCTTGAATGCTTATTTTCTGCATATGTTGAGAAGACAGTTTTTCCTCCTTTAATCTACTGACGTGGTAGATTATGTGAATAGATTTCTGATACTGAAGTGTTCCTGTGTTCCTGTGCTAAACTTTACTTAATTATGAAGCATTAAAGAAATTAATTTAGAATTAATTTTACTAGTATTTAACCTATGAATTTTGCATTAATGTTTAGAAGTAAAATAGATCTTAGATTTTCTTTTTTTGTACTGTCCTCTTATTCTGGTATCCAAGGTTATACTGGCTGCATAAAATAAACTGAGTACTTTTCCTTCTTGTAATTTTTGAAACTGTGACTGAAATTTCCTTTCCTGAGAGTTTGATACCAATCATTTACAAAACCATCTGGGTATGGCAAGACTTCATTATGGAATCAGTTTTTATAATTTAAAAAACAATTATTGATTTATTCAAGCATCTTATATTTTCGTCAATTCTGGTCATTTTTCTAGACCATTATGTTTCATCTGAGATGTCAGATTTACCAACCCAAGGCAGTATTCTCGTGATTTAAAAAAAGGTTTTGGTTTTATCAAAGTAGGTCATGTCTGAGGCTTAAAGAATAAAATAATGCAGTGACCATAAAGAAAGTGAAGGGCATGATAAACATAAAATTCAGGATATTGATTATCTGAAAAGAAAGAAAATGAAATGGGCATAGAAAGAACTTCAAAGATAACCATAATTTGTTTTTAATGGGCAGTGGATATACAGGTATTATTTTTAGTGTTACTATTCTTTATAATTTACATATATTTTACAAAACTTATTTACAGTGTTTCACTATGGAAGGTTAAGATTGAACTCATCATGCTGCTCCTGTCACCCGCCCAAAGGTATGCGTATGTACATAAACTTCTTGTTTCCCCATTGTCCCAATGTGATTAGACCATAAATTTGTTTTCCATCAGTACTATTGTTTACAAGATGACTATACAGTTAGCTCTGTATATCTGCAGGGGATTGGTTTCAGAACCTCCATGGATACCAGATTCCATTGATACTCAAGTCCCTGATATAAAATGGAATGGTATAATCGGCCCTCCATATTTGTGGGTTTTGATCCTTGGTTGGTTGAATCCACAGATGTAAAACCCATGGATACAGAGGGCTGACTGTATATATAAATACTATCCACAGCCAAGACACATAGTAACCTGTGATTAATTTACCTTCCCTGCGTAACTGTATTCCTTATGGTATAATTTTTTTTTGAGACAGAATCTTGCTGTGTCACCCAGGTTAGAGTACAGTGGTACAGTCTTGGCTCACTACAGCCTACAGCCACAAACTCCTGGGCTCAAGCAATTCTCCCACCTCAGGCTCCTGAGTAGCTGGGACTACAGCTGTGTACCACTACACCAAGCTAATTTTTTTTTTATTTTTTATAGAGATGGGGTCTCACTATGTTGTCCAGGCTGGTCTCGAACTCCTAGACTCAAGTCATCCTCTTGCCTTGCCCTCCCAAAGTGCTGGGATTACAGGAGTGAACCACTGCTCCTGGCTTGTTTTGTTTCTTTCTCCATGTACTTATCACCAGTTGTCTAGAGTGACTCTGAGCACTTCTGGAGATATCAAGGGTTTCCTTAGTGTCATATCCCTGAGTTTTTCTGAAGCCTTCTGACCTGCTCTCATCTGGATGAATTACCCTTATTCCTTCTTGTGCAGCTACCATCCTGACACTGTTCTTCAGTGTCATTCTGGGGATTCCCTTCACCTTCTACATTGTTGGGGTCCATATTTTCTATATGCCATGCCACCTTCCTCATTTGGTTGGAGCACATTCTTTAAGTACTTTCCTAAGAAAGGATGTAAGCCCATAGGAGATGAAGTTTTGAGATTTTTGAGATGTCTACAAGTGTTTGACTCCTGATGGAGAGTTTGGCTTGGAGTAGAGTTCTAGGATGGAAATGTCTTTCCTTGAGACTTTGAAGGCATTGCTCCATTATCATCTAATTTTCAATGTAAAGCTGTTCTGATTATTGATACTTGATATCATTTTTTTCTCTGTATCAGCTTATAAGATTTTACCCCCTTTATGGTGCTCTGACATATCCCCATATGAGATCATTGTCACCAGTATTTCTGGGTGCGTGATAGGAAATAAATCTTCACAGGGATAGTTTCCCCTCCCCCCATGCAAAGCCAAGATTCTATAGGGCCAGAGAGCTGCATTGCATATCCAAGTGGCAAGCTAGGCCTTTTTTGTTAAACCCCTTTCACTTTATCTGTGGGCAAGTCCAGTTTGACCCACTAAAAATAGGCACATCATACCAGAAAATTATCAGCCTCTACTGTTCGGGTATCCAGACTCCCAGAAGAAAAACGGGTGTTCAGTGCTGTAGGCAGGCAAAGCCATCATATCAACATAGGAAATATTCCACAAGCCAAGTTCCCAGACTTTACCCGGGAGGTAGCTCTGTAAGCAGGCACTTCTAAAGATTAGTTCTGCTGTGTTAACACTTTCCTACATGTTACCTTTACTGGTGTTCTTTATTTCTTTGTGTGGATTTGAGTTACCAGAGTGTCCTTTATTTTCTTGGAGCTGAGCTTCCAGTTAGATCAAATAGCAGCAGTCTGGGGATAGGGCTTTTGGTAGAGCTCCAAAACAGGTCATCCCCCTTGGGTAGCTGTGAGGCTGCCAGTTTTCATGGAGCTGGGGAGCCAGTGGAAGAATGGGAAGAGTAGTAGTAGTGCCAAATGAACCATTACTTGGCTGTTCTTTGTGAGGTTTACTAATTTTTCTTGTTTTTTTTTTTTTTGTTTCTTTTTTTTTTTTTTTGAGATGGAGTTTTGCTCTTGTCACCCAGGCTGGAGTGCCATGGGGCAATCTCGGCTCACTGCAACCTCTGTGTCCCAGGTTCAAGCAGTTCTCCTGCCTCAGCCTCCCAAGTAGCTGGGATTACAGCTGGAATCCATGCTATTATAGTAGCATGGATTACATCATGCCCTGCTAATTTTTGTATTTTTAGTAGAGACAGGGTTTCACCATGTTGGCCAGGCTGATCCTGAACACCTGACCTCATGTGATCCATCTGCCTCAGCCTCCCGAAGTGCTGGGATTACAGACGTGCGCCACTGTGTCCGGCCTAGTTTTTCTTGAACAAATGATTTTTAATTGCTTGTCTGCCTTTGGTTAATTTCTAAAGTCCTGAAATGATTGATTTTGATAATTTTTTATTTTGCCAGTATTTTCATTACTTTTTTGGGGGAGAGGATTTACCAAGGTCCTTCCTCTCACTCGGTCATTTCAGAAGTCCAGCCTAAAAGCCTTCCTTTTAAAACTGCAAAAAAGTACAGAAAATCATAATTATTACAAATACCCTTGTACTTCCTTCCCAGAATTAGCAAATGTTAACATTTTGTCATTTTTTTAAATAAAAGAAACAGACGTTTAAAAATAAAGTTGAAGTCCCATTTTTCCCATCTATTCCTCTTATCTCCTCCTCAGGTAAACAGTATAATGAATTTTGTGAGTATCCTTTTAATCTATGTTTTTATACTTTTGCTACGTATGTTTGTGCCTGTAATCAATATAGAATTCTTTTTGTAAAATTACCAGATTAGTACACTCAAATTATAGGGATCTTGGCCAGGCATGGTGGCTTATGCCTGTAATCCTAGCACTTTGGGAGGCCAACTTGGGTGGATCACCTGAGGTTAAGTGTTTGAGACCAGCTAGCCAACATGGTGAAACCCTGTCTCTACTAAAGATACAAAAATTAGCTGGGCGTGGTGGCGCATGCCTGTAATTCTAGCTACTCGGGAGGCTGAGGCAGGAGAATTGTTTGAACATGGGAGACGGAGGTTGCAGTGAGCTGAGATTGCACCACTGCACTCCAGCCTGGGCTAAAGTGCAAGACTCCATCTCAAAAAAAAAAAAAGGCCGGGCGCAGTGGCTCACACCTGTAATCCCAGCACTTTGGGAGGCTGAGGTAGATGGACCACAAAGTCAGGAGTTCGAGACCAGCCTGGCCAAGATGGTAAAACCCCATCTCTACTAAAAATATGAAAATTAGCTAGGCACGGTGGTGGGTACCTATATTCCCAGCTACTTGGGAGGCTGAGCCAGAAGAATCACTTGAACCTGGGAGGCGGAGGTTGCAGTGAGCCGAGATTGTGCCATTGCACTCTAGCCTAGGCAACAGAGCAAGGCTGCAGCTCAAAAAAAAAAAAGTTAAAAATAATAGGGATCTTTCTGCAACTTGCTTTCTGTGTTCAGTATTACCTTTTGAGCTTTCTCTATGCTGATACTTTAGATTTAGATGATTTATTTTAACTGTTGTAGTAGCATTCCAACATATGGGTGTCATCGTTCATTTACCATACCTCTATTGGTGGATATTTGGTAATTTCTACGATTTTGTTGCCATTCTTGTTGTACATGTTAAAATTTGCCCTTATTTCTCTGTGGTATAAATGGAATAGGTAGTAAGGTGTGTGTGTGTGCGTGTTTGTGAGTGTACGCATGCACATGTGTTTATTGTTTTTGAGACAAGGTCTTACTTTGTCACCTAGGCTAGAGTGCAGTGTTGTGTACATGGCTCACTGCAACTCTAACCTCCTAGGCTCAACCAATCCTTCTGCCTCAGTCCCCGAAGTAGCTGGGACTATAGGTGTGTACCACCACGCCTGGCTAATTTTTTGTATTTTTTTGTGGTGATGGGGTTTTGCCATGTTGCCCAGGCTGTATATTTTCAATATTACTAGATGTATTACCTCTTAGCCGTCACAAGTAGAATCAATTTGCCACATATAAGAATTTCACATTCACGTAAGTGAAGATTGCTTTATAATATTCTCATATTTTATCCTTCTTTGCTTTTGGCATCAAGGTCATATAAGCATTCTCTTGCCGATTTTATTTTGGTTACTAAGTACCAGGTATAGCTTTTCCCATAATTTTATTTTTAAATTCTCTCTCATTTTGCCCTAATTGTCTTTTGAAAACATGGAGCTGATTTTTCTAAAATGCAATTTAATATGGCTGGCATTTAACTAATCTGGTTAATATATATTTATTGTGAAATTGCTATATTTGTATTTCTTCTTTCAGTGTATTTCCTACATAGCCTGCTTTTTCACTATCCCTTTTTTCTTGCCTTTGCTGGGTTTTCTTTACCCCCGGTCTTTTTGTCCTTTAGTCATTATCCTTCTGAATAACTGAAGTATCAGGCATTTTTCTTAGCCAGGTTTTGAGTATGGCAAAATCTTTGTCTTTTCTTGTCCAAAGATGTCTTTATTTTCTCATCTTTCTTTATGATAATTTATCTGGGTATAGAGTTCTAAGATGAAAGCTTGTCTCAGGACATTGAAGATACTGTTCTTTAATCTTCTGGCTTTTTTGAAGAAGTCTGATATTAATATAATTATTTCTTTCTAGGGGATATTTTTATTTATTCATAGTAGTTTACAATATTTTCTTTCTGACGTGAAAGTCCTGTGGTTGCACTGAACTTTGTCTAAGTGCAGACTTGCTTTTATTTACCATACTCAAGGACTTTGGACATTCAGTGGTAGGATACATGCCTTTCTTCCATTTTAGAAAAGAGTCAGTTTTTGTCTCTTTAAATATTGCCTAGGTCAAGGGTCCCCAAGACCGCTCCCATACTCATATATTCTCTAGAGACACTCATGGGACTCAGCATATAGTTGTAATCATGGGTAAGATTTATTACAGTGATGTAATGATAAACAATTGGATTATAAGGGAAAAGGGCACAGACAGAATCTGGAGACATCCATGTGCAGGCTTCCTTATGCTGTCTGCCTATCATGAACACAGAGCACACTCTAACTCCAGTATCAAAGATGCACCAACATGTGTGATGTTTATGCCAAGGGAAGCCTATTAGATGACTCAGTGATTTCCCAAGATCTGTCATCTAACTTATTAAATCTGTCTTATCTGTGGCTAGTCTACTGTTCAGCCTATTTCGAGTTATTTTATTTTTTATTAGAAAGAGAAAGAGAAAGGGGAAGAGAGAACAGGAGTCTTGCTCTATTGCCCAGGCTGGAATGCAATCTAAAAATAGGTATTAAAAACCTCTTTTATGCCAATAATTGTGCTTAACAGCGGAGACAGGAAGGAATAAGGGAAGAAAATAACAAACAGCCAACCAATATTTCATTTAAGTCTGTGGAATGCTATGCAAATGCTGAAGAGTGTTTTACTTAAAATTATGTGGTCACTTTCAAAATAGGTGTAATGTGATACAGAGAAAAATGTATGTTCTGTGGACCTGGGGTGAAGAATTCTATAAATATTCACTGAGTTTACTTGTTCTAGGTCCGAGTTCTAATCATAGATGTCCCTGTTAATTTTCTATCTCATTGATCTGTCGAATATTAACAATGTGGTATCAGTCTCCTGCTATTATTGTGCGGGAGTCCAAGTCTCTTTATAAGTCATTAAGAACTTGTCTTATTATCTGGGTGCTCCTATGTTGGGCGCATATATATTTATGATCATTGACTCCTGTTGTTGTATTGATCCTTTTACCATTATGTAATGTCCTTCTTTGTTTCTTTTAGTCTTTGTTACTATTAAAGTCTATTTTGTCAGAGACAAAAGTTACAACTCCTGTTTTTTTCTTTTCTTTCTTTTTTTTTTTTTTTGCTCTCCATTTGATTGGTAAATCTTCCTCCAATCCTTTGTTTTGAGTCTTTGTGTGTCCTTGCTTATAAGATGGATCTGGATACAGCATATCAATGGGTTTTGACTTTTTTTTTTTTTTTTTTTGAGACGGAGTTTTTCACTCTTGTTACCCAGGCTGGAGTGCAATGGTGCAATCTCAGCTCACCGCAACCTCCGCCTCCTGGGTTCAGGCAATTCTCCTGCCTCAACCTCCCGAATAGCTGGGATCACAGGCATGCACCACCATGCCCAGCTAATTTTTGTATTTTTAGTAGAGACGGGGTTTCACCTTGTTGACTAGGATGGTCTCCATCTCTTGACCTCGTGATCCACCCGCCTCAGCCTCCTAAAGTGCTGGGACCATAGGCGTGAGCCATCACGCCCGGCGAATTTTTTGTATTTTTATTAGATACGGGGTTTCACCATGTTGACCAGGATGGTCTCGATCTCTTGACCTCATGATCCACCCGCCTCAGCCTCCCAAAGTGCTGGGATTACAGGCTTGAGCCACCGCGCCCGGCCTGGGTTTTGACTCTTTATTCAATTTGCCTGTCTGTGTCTTTGATTGGGGCATTTAATCCATTTAAATTTAGGATTAATATTGATATCTGTGAGTTTAATATTGTCATTTAATGCTAGCTGGCTATTTTGCCCATTAGTTGATATAGATTCTTCATTATGGAGATACTCTTTACCTTTTGGTAAGTTTTTGGTATGACTGATACTAGTTGTTCCTTTCTGTGTGTAATGCTTCTTTCAGAAGCTCTTGTAAAGCAGGCCTGGTGGTGATGAAATCTCTGAGTGCTTGCTTGTTCATGAAAAATTTTATTTTTCCTTCATTTATGAAGCTTAGTTTGGCTGGATATGAGATTCTGGGTTGAAAATTCTTTTCTTTGAGGATATTGAATATTGACCCCTACTGTCTTCTAGTTTGTAGGGTTTCTGCTGAGAGATCTGTTGTGAGTCTGATAGGCTTCCCTTTATGGGTAACCTGACCTTTCTCTCTAGTTGCCCTTAGAATTTTCTCCTTCATTTCAACCCTGGTGAATCTAACGATTATGTGTCTTGGGGTTGCTCTACTTGAGGAATATCTTTGTGGTGTTCTCTGTATTACCTGGAGTTGAGTATTGTCCTGCCTTACTAGGGTTAGGAAAGTTTTCCTGAATAATATCCTGAAGAATATTTTCCAGCTTGGATTCATTCTCTTCATGACATTCAGGTACATGTAAATTAGGTCTTTTCACATAGTCCCATATTTCTTGGAGACTTTGCTCATTCCTTTTTACCCTTTCTTCTCTAATCTTGTCTTCTCGTTTCATTTCATTAAATTGGTCTTTGACCTCTGATATCCTTTCTTCTGCTTGATCAATTTGACTGTTAAAACCTGTGCATACTTCTCAGAATTCTTGTATTGTATTCTTCAGTTCCATTAATTCACTTATATTCCTCTCTAAATTGTCTATTCTCGTTAGGATTTTGTCAAACCTTTTTTCGAAGTTCTTAGTTTCTTTACATTGGGCTAGAACATGTTCTTTTAACTCACAGAAGTTTCTTATTATCCCCCTTCTGAAGCCTGATTCTGTTAATAGAACGCACTCGTTCTCCATCAGGCCTTGTTCCCCTGTTGATAAGGAACTGTGATCTCCTGTAGAGGGAGAGGCATTCTGATTTTGAGTATTTTCAGCCTTTTTACTCTGGTTTCTTCCCATCATTGTAAATTTATCCACCTGTCGACCTGTCGTCTTTGTAATTACCAACTTTCAAATTAGGTCTCTGAGTGGACGTCCAACTTGTTAATTCCCAGCGCCGGAATCTGAGCAACCCACTGCGCTGGCTAAAACAGTGGCATTAAGCTTCATGGTGCTTTTCTGTCGAGGAATCTCCAGTCTGGCTTCCCTCTTGAGTCCCTTTTTCAATCAGCTGAATGGGCGACTCTGCCTTCCTGGAGCTCTGAACGTCGACCAAAAGGGGACCCAGTCCCGTTTACTCTGCATCGAGAACCACCATGCCGAGGCACCAGCAAAACTGCCACACCGGCCACAAGAGTTGCGCTGGTGACCCATGGGGCTCCTCCACTGAGAATCTCCTGGTCTGTGAGCAGCAAAAATTCGTCTGAAAGTGTGGCGTCCTCTCGTTCTCTGCACTTTCACTGGGTGCTACAATTCTGAGCTGTTAGTAATCGGCCATCTTGGATCTCTCTCCCCGAGTTTTTTTTTTTTTTTTTTAAATAATGCCTACTTTAAAAATACTCATCTGTCTTTTTTGAAAATTTCCTGCTATTTCCTTCATAGTCTAGTTCTTATCTTTGTACATTTGAAATATACTTATTTTAAAGCCCACGTTGTTCTATTATCTACAGTTCTAAGAGTGGGAGTATATTTAAATGTATCTGTCGATTGTCTCTAATAATGGATCAGTTCCTTGTAAGGTTTTAAATTTTCTACTGTGAACTCTTCAGTGAGAGTTGGTTTTCTGTAGAAGTTCTGTGATGTCCTCAACTATAAAAACATGAGAGAAAGAGAGAGAGAGAGAGAGAGTGAGTGTGTGTATGTGTGTGTGTGTGTGTATCTTCTGGAAAGGTTGCCACTGCTATGAACCTACCAATGACAAGACCAACTTTTATGTTAATTTTTCAGTTTATGGGCTCTGTACTAGTAATCATTTGGATTGAGTTACAGAATTAGGCTTTTGATGTCTTATATATAACATCCTCCTTGCCAGTTTCTTTGGCTAGTAGGGAATCTTTCTAGTTCCTGTTTAACAAGCATGGAAGCCCTTGTAATTCTAGCTTTAAGCCAAAATTACACTCTGACTTTCCTCAATACCTAAACATTTGTGCCTTTTGGTCCCCTTCAAATCCTCAAGCTGTTCTGTTCACCCTGTCACTTTAAATTCCCACTTCATTTTGACACCCAATACATTTCTTTTCTTGATTTTGAGCTTGGGACATGGGGAGGGTCCTCCATCCATATCCAGCAGGAGTCCACTGCTTTGGCATTTAGGGATTAAAGTTATTTCATAAATTATAGTGGGAAGACAAGTTTGATGATTCATCGCATTTTCTTTTAGAAGTCTGGCAAGTTGACAAGCAGATAGATCGCTATAAGGAAAGCCAAGACAAACTTCCATGGCAAGCTGCATTCACAGGCAAGGAAACACTGAAGGATGAAAGTGGTCAAGTATGTAAAATATGTAGAAAAAGCATTTATCTCAGCACAGACTTTGTTTCTGTAAAACAAAGACTCCCTAAATATTACTCGTGGGAATGGTGTTCAAAACATAATTTAAACTTTCTTAGTCAAAATAGAAGCTATGTAAGAAAGAAAGATGATGGATATAAGACATATTGGAAAGTATGCCTCCATTCTAACCTTCATAAAGCTCAACCTGTGGAGAAATTTTTTGACCCTAATCAACGAGGGAAAGCCCTCCACCAAAAGCAAGCCCTTCAGAAAAGTCAGAGAAGTCAAACTGGGGAGAAACTCTACAGATGTACTCAGTGTGGAAAAGGGTTTATCCAGAAAGGAAATTTAGTTGTACATCAAAGAACTCACACCGGAGAGAAACCTTATGAATGCTGTGAATGTGCAAAAGCCTTCAGCCAGAAGTCAACCCTCATAGCACACCAGAGAACGCACACAGGGGAGAAGCCCTATGAATGTAATGAATGTGGAAAAACCTTTATTCAGAAGTCAACTCTGATTAAACATCAACGAACTCATACGGGAGAGAAACCATTTGTATGTGCCAAATGTCCAAAAGCTTTTAAAAGTTCATATCATCTTATTAGACATAAAAAAACACACATTAGACAAGCATTTTATAAAGGTATTAAATATACTACATCTGGCCTTATATATCAATGGATTCACACAAGTGAGAAACCTGAGTGCAGTGAACATGAGAAAACCTCTGATGAGAAGCCTAGTCCCACTAAACATCAGATAACTCGTACAAAAGAGAAAATTTATGAGTGTAATAAATGTGGGAAAAGCTTCAGAGGTAAGTCACACCTCTCTGTTCATCAGAAAATTCATACGGGAGAGAAACCCTATGAATGTAGTATATGTGGGAAGACTTTCAGTGGAAAGTCACACCTCTCTGCCCATCATAGAACTCATACAGGAGAGAAACCGTATGAATGCAGAAGATGTGGGAAAGCCTTTGGGGAGAAGTCAACCCTTACTGTACATCAGAGAATACATACAGGAGAGAAACCCTACAAATGCAACGAATGTGGGAAAGCCTTCAGTGAGAAGTCACCACTGATTAAACATCAGAGAATTCATACAGGAGAGAGACCGTATGAATGCAGTGACTGTGCAAAAACCTTCAGTAGGAAGTCAACTCTCATTAAACATCAGAGAATTCATACAGGAGAAAAACCTTACAAATGTAGTGAATGTGGGAAGGCCTTCAGTGTGAAATCAACTCTCAATGTGCATCACAGAACTCATACAGGAGAGAAACCTTATGAATGCAGAGACTGTGGGAAAGCATTCAGTGGGAAGTCAACTCTCATTAAACATCAGAGAAGTCACACAGGTGATAAAAACCTATGAGTATACTTGAGAGTGGGATAATTATACTAGTAATTACTCATATGTTAAATAATTTATCATGGGGAGTAATCTTATAAATGTCAAGAGTGTTGGAAACTCTTCATATGTTAATATTCATTTAACTTAATAAAAGGTACAGAAGTATAATTCCAGAGGCGTCAATAAATGTGATTAATTTTTTCACCCAGAGTTCTTCACACAGGAGTGAAAATCTGTATCTCAAATAATTCAAAAGCATCAAAACTGAGTGTAGTGATGTGGGAAAGCCTTCAGAAAGAATGTAAATGGCACTGTTTATCAGAGTGTTTATGCTGAGAAAAACTAAGAATTTAGTGAGCCATGGTGTGGTAGGTAGCTCACACCTGTAATTCCAGCACTTTTGGGAGGCCAAGGTAGGCAGATCACTTGAGCTCACAAGTTCGAGACCAGCCTGGGCAACATGGTAAAACTGTCTTTACAAAAAATACAAAAGTTATCTGGGTGTGGTGGTATGCCTGTAGTCCCGGGAGTTTGAGGTAGGAGGATGGCTTGAGCCCAGGAGGTGGAGGTTGCAGTGAGCTGAGATCACACTACTGTACTCCAGCCTGGGTGTTACAGCCAGACCGTGTCAAATAAATAGACAAACACAAACCCATGTTAGAAATGAGAGGAATCATGCTCTATATTCTTTTATTAATAGAGACAGGGTCTTGCTATGTTGCCCAGGCTGGTCTTGAACTCCTAGCCTCAACTGATACTCCCACCTTTGCCTCCCAAAGCACTCATTATAGATATGAGCCACCACACTTAGCATATTCTTTATCAAACATTTTGTGGAAAAGGTATAGAGGTGGCAAGCAAACACTCAATTATAAATTTAAGATATGTTCAATGTGGAGTAGATTATGACTTTTTTTTTTGAGACAGAGTTTCACTCTCATTGCCCAAGCTGGAGTGCAATGGCACAATCTCAGCTCACTCCAACCTTTGCCTCCCAGGTTCAAGCGATTCTCCTGCCTCAACCTCCCAAGTAGGCTGGGATTTCAGGCATGCGCCACCATGCCCTGCTAATTTTTTGTAGTTTTAATAGAAACGGGGTTTCACCATGTTAGCCAGGCTGGTCTGGAACTCCTGACCTCAGGTGATCCATCCGTCTTAGCCTCTCAAAGCACTGGGAATACAAGTGTGAGCCACGGCGCCTAGCCTAGTATGATATTTTTAAAAGAATAGTATAAAGCATAAAATACCTATGTGGGTTAAACTCCCAGATTATTTTCCTAAACAAATAAAAAAATTGCTTTCTTAAATAGGGTAAGAGAGGATGAGTCATCAGGATCCCTGAAACAAAGATCTCAAACAGGAGACCTTACATACATTATTCATCAATATCTTCAGTGCAAAAATGCAAAGCCATTACAGAAAGGGCATTAGTAAGTTTTTACATACTTTCCTTAGGAACAGTGCTTACAACGTAAAATTCTCCATGTTTTAAGAAAGAATAATTTTGTGGTGAAGCAATCAAAGATTTAAAAATTTCAGAGCATCTTCCGTAAGAGCAGTATTATTTAAAGTAGTGAAAAAATAAAAAACAATTTAATATCCAGTGATAGCTGATTAAAAATTGATATGTCAATTAGGTGAAATAATATGCACCAATTAAGACTATTTGCAAATTTGGGAAAATGTTAATGGTAAATCATTACATAAAAAATATAAAATAATATATGATATTGTAAAAACAAAGTATATGAACCATTATATCAGTGATTCTGGGTGGTTGGCATATAAAAATATTGCGATGAGTAAAGTTATATGCACATATATGTATAAGCATAAATTTGTATTTCATCTATTTTAGGTGAGTATATGTGTGTATAGATAACACAGGGAATAAAAAGCTAGGTACATCTATGTAATGTGGGTGGGGGGAGCTAGGAAAGAAATACACCAAATTATTAAGTAAATTGGCATTTGAGTGTGGAGATTATTGATGTGTAAAAAAGTTTTTGGATGTAGTCCCCAGAAATCACCAATAAAGCATATCATTTAAAGTGTATATTATGCATGTTTATTTTCTTTTCCCATCCATTTTCTCACTCAGCTTTGTCTTTAATGTGTACCATTATTCTCTTCTTGAAATGATCCCATTTTCATATATATATACATATTGTCTATTTGTTTTCCATATGATTAAGTTTACGGTTTTGAGAGCATACATAGTTGACTCTTGAACAACATGGGTTTGAACTGTGTTTGTCCACTTATATGTGGATTTTCTTCCACATGTGCCACCACTGAAACAGCAAGATCAACCCCTCTTCCTCCTCCTCAGCCTATCCAACATGAAGATGATGAGGATGAAAACTTCTTATGATCCACTTCACTGAATGAATAGTAAATATAAGAATGCATACATAATACATAAAATGTGTTAATGGACTGTATACATTATCAGTAAGGCTTCTGGTCAACAGTAGACTATTAGTAGTCAAATTTGGGGGATTCTTAAGTTATATGCAGATATTTTACTGCTGGGAGGTCAGTGCCCATAATCCTATGTTCAAGAGTCAACAATATTTTGCATTTTGAGAGTAGGTATCCTATAATTTTTGGAGGCAGGGGCTCTCAGTATGTTGCTCAGGCTGGTCTCAAATTCCTGGACTCAAGCAGTCCTCCTGCTCAACCTCCCAAGTAGCTGGGAATACAGTATCCTATGATTTTAATAATATCTGTACGTGATTTTCTGACAAAACTAAGCATCTCCATTGCTTTTTACTCTATAACCACCAAATCCTATGACATTAAGTTACTAGTTAACACATTTTACAAGTGAGAAATATAAGGAATGTTTAAGTGTTCAATTAATGAGGCAAAATGAACTTCTGAAGAAAGCTCTTTTCACTGTGGTATTTATGAGTGCTGCTGAATGCTTGTATTCCCTCTTGTCCCTGTCCTTTTCTTAGCAGTTGTGGCAGACACCCTAGATGACCCCCAATGATTAATGCCCTATACAATATCTTCCCTGAAGGTGGGCAGAAGTGAGACTGCTTCTAGCCAATAGACTACGGCAAAGGTGATGGTATGTTACTCCCGTGACTACATTGTAATATATAAGACTGTCTTAGCAGACTGGAGAGAGATTTTCCTTGCTGGTTTGATGAAGTAAACAGCCATATTGAAGAAGCCTATGTAGCAAGAGACTGCAGCTGACTGATAGTACCTGAGGGAGCCCTGAGCTTAGACAATGGGATTTGAATGGAAAGATCCTGGTGATAAGACAAGTGAAGAGAAACAAGTCCAATAGACCAAGCAACTTTTCCCCATAAGGAATATATGAACTGGTAAATGGCTTGGGATAGATTTGGAAATTCACAGCAGAGCTTTCAGTAGAAAATTCTGTGCCAAGGAAATCAAACTTGAAGTTCAGATTCCACCAGGGATGATGGCCCTTGTTAAATACCACAGGTTTGTTGGACCCTCTGAAAGACTTTACCTAGGAATTAGGAGTAAATATAGACCAGATCTTAAGATTGATACCTCACCTTGAATGAGCTCACTAACTGAATTCAGATAATTTGCTCCTACTATAATTGCCTTCAGAAACTGAAGCTTGGCTGTGTGTGGTGGCTCATGCCTGTAATCCCAGGACTTTGGGAGGCCAGTGTGGGAGAATTACTTGAGGCCAGGAGTTCAAAACCAGCCTCACAACATAATGAGACCTTGTATCTACAATAAATAAAAAACTACTCAGGTGTGGTGGCTCATGCCTATAGTCTCAGCTACTCGGCAGAGTGAGGGGGAGGAGTGCTTGAGCCCAGGAGTTCAAGGCTGCAGTGAACCATGATTGTGCCACTGTACTCCAGCTTGGCTAACAGAGCAAGACACTGTCTCTAAACAAACAAAAAAAGAAACTAAAGCTAGCTTATATAATTTCTCATGTACAATGGCTTTGAATCAAAAATTGCCAGGTATACCCAGAGTCAGAAGAAGTACATGGATAGTAGAAGCAGGCCCACAGGCCTTTCAGATATAAAAGTTATGAATCATGGATTCTAAAATAACTGAATAATATGGTCAGTGAAATATTTAAGAAGCATAAGAAATTGAATTATTTTCAATAATCATTTGTGCTTACTTTAAAATGTTCCTGGAGTGTTTCTAATTGTCCTTTATTGTTTTTCTGGGGTCTCAAATATATCTTGATCTAAGTTATGGAATTTCCCTTTTCTTTGGCATTACAATTCTGTATAGTTATTAACTTTGAGGGGTGGAACTGGATTGGAGAAAAGGTACTGTCTCTGTAACAAGCTAGAAACTACTTCACTAAAGAAAAGTTATCTGCAGAGGATGATATTGCTTTGCTTCTGATATGCTTTAGCTGTGTCCCCACCCAAATCTCATCTTGAATTGTGTCTCCCACAATCCCCACGTGTCGTGGGGGGGGGACCCAGTGGGAGGTAATTGCATGATGGGGTCCAGTCTTTCTCATGCTATTCTTGTGATAGTGAATAAGTATCACAAGATCTGATGGTTTTCAAAATGGCAGTTTCCCTGCACAAGTGCTCTCTCTTTGCCTGCTGCCATCCGTGTAAGAGGTGACTTGCTACTCCTCGCCTTCCACCATGATTGTGAGGCATCCCCAGCCACATGGAACTGTAAGTCCATTAAACTTCTTTCTTTTGTAAATTGCTCAGTCTCAGGTATGTCTTTATCAGCAGCATGAAAACGGACTAATATAGCCTCTAAATCCTAATGAATTGTACTATGACTCACACAGGGACTTTCCAAGGGCTTCATACAACATTTCTATCTGGCACAGACACGTCAGCTCCATATTATATGCTAGGTCATATGGCCCAAGAGACTGTGTACATGACAGATCAGGTCTGTTTAAAAGTTATTCTTGCTCTGGGCCACAGCAAAAATTGGCAGTTTTGTGGGTTAGTCAGTAAATGGATTGTAGCAGCATGACAAAATGAGGTTTATGGTGCCTAACACAAGGAGTGATTTCTCAAAAGTAGTATAATTCTCCATTGCAGATTTAATGGCCTTGCTCCAAAATCCCAGGGATGCTATCACACTTCATTTTTTGCACCCCTGACACCTCCACCCCAAAGTCAGCCAGATCATATGATCTATGCAACAAGGCTGTGTGTACCACAGCCTGGACTCACTGTAGACCCTTTCTTGCTCTAGTCCCCACTCAAAGCTGGCAGCCTTCTGTGTCACCTGGTATATGGGCCGGAAAAGCACTTCTAGATGTGTATGTTACCTTTAGATCCCAAGGAGGCTTAACATGTGCTGTACTTCTCTTTTGCAAAATTAAACTTGGTGTGGTTGAGCTTGTGGTAGTCTACAGTCATTCTGTAGGATCCATGTGGTTTTTGAAGAGACCAGAATGATGAATTAAACAGAAATATAATAGGAAACACCACTCATTCATGATTTAGGTCTTTAATGGTGACACTGTCATCCTCTAGAGTGCAATATTGTTTTAAATTTAGCATCTTGACCAGGACACCATTATTGTCTGGACCCAATAAGTCCCCACACTGATAGAAGGGCCATGATGATGCTTTCAGTGTCTGTATATTGATGTCAACTTTGAAAGCTCTGTCTGATAGTCCTAAACATTTCTTGGTATTTCCTTTCTCAAATATATCATTACCCAAATAAATGGCCATAAGTTGCTTTGGGGAGAGACTAGGGTAAGCATCATAATATATGCCTGTCACAAAACTATAGGGTTCTTCCTCTGAGGCACATGGGCAACTGTACACAAATGGTTCTAGATGTAAAGATTGGCTCAAGTCTGGGAACTGAGCAAGGAACACTCATATTTTAATGAGGTAGTTGTCTTCAGACACCTGCTCTTTGAATCTTTCCTTTTTCTGATTGTAATAGTAAATAGCTGCCCTATTGGGTACCCAACAATTTAACTCTTAGGAATGCCGGGCATATCAGCAGAACTGATACAACTGAGAAAAGAATTAATGAGCTTGAGGCTGAGCATGGTAGCTCATGCCTGTAAACCCAGCACTTTGGGAGGCTAAGGGAGGAGGATCACTTGAGGCAAGGAGTTTGAGACTCAGCCTGGGCAACAAAGTGAGAACACATTTCTACACACACACACACACACACACACACACACACACACACACAGACTCCCAGTTACTTGGGAGGCTGAGGTTGGAGGATCACTTAGGCCTACGAGTTGGAGGCTGCAATGAGCTATGATCGTGCCACTTAGGACCCTGTCTGTAAAAAAAATTATTTTTTTAGGAATAGAATTAATGATCTTGAGAGTAAGCATTTAGGCTTTCAGTATTTAATATGATGTTGGCTATGGCTTTTTGTAGATGCTGTTTAACACACTGAGGAATTTCCCTTCTATTCCTAGTTTACTGAGAAGTGTTTTCTTTTTCTTTCATGAATATATATTAATTTTGCCAGGTGATTTTCCTGCAACCATTGTGATGATCATGGTTTATTTCTTTTTCTTAAAACAGCATCTCACTTTGTTGCCCAGGCTGGAGTGCAGTGGTACAACCATGGCTCACTGCAGCCTTGACCTCCTGGGCTCAAGCAATCCTCCTACATCAGCCTCCCAAGTAGCTGGGACTACAAGCATGCACCCCCACACCTGGCTAATGTTTTAACTTTTTGTAGAGACAGACTCTCCCTATGTCGCCCAGGCTGGTTTTGAACTCCTGGACTCAAGCAGTCCTCCCACCTCAGCCTCCTGAATAGCTGGGACTACAGGGATGCACCACCACACCAGGCTAGTTTTTAATTTTTTGTAGATATGGGGTCTCACTATGTTGCCCAGGCTAGTCTTGAATTCCTTCACTCAAGCAATCCTCCTCTAAATCCTCCCAAAGTGCTGTGATTACAGGTGTGAGCCACTGTGTCTGGCCTGCCTTCATTTTTGAATATTTTTCTGAATTCTATATCAACAATTTAGATTTTTCTTTCTGCATTGTAAAGCTTTCATTCATTTGTATTTTGGCTTGCATCACTTCCGACATGAAGTTATCTTCCATTCCTCATGTCATC